ATATTTTCTTATTGACCCTCCATGGAAAAAGTTTAAGATCATTCAAGGCAAAGTTGGGGCGCAGCTGGGGGCACATGCCAGAGAGCAGAGCAGTGGGTTTTCAGAGCTCAACCTGGAGCTGATCTTGCGCTCTAGGAGTCAAACCCTGCTGCTAGCCCTGACCCTGCACTGTGACAATCCCTAGAGTCGCTTAATCACGGGTGCTAAGCATAGACATCTGCAGCCTGCCTGGCATCCGCTGGGCTAGGGTTATCTGAGGAGCAGTGGCAACTCAGCCTGCACTGACTGCTAGTCTTGCTCTGCTCCAGCTAATTCCAGTGTGTGAGTGGCGTGTGTTTAATTAGCTTATTTTACCCCTGAAGTGATCTCGGCGAATGCTCCTAAAATGAAATCATTGGCACCGAAAAAGAAAACAAAAACAGGGAAATTAAAGGCTTGTTTAGAGAGAGAATCTTGAGTGTAGGAGCAGTTGTGTGGGGTACTTTACCCACCTCTTCTGTGGAATAACGAATCAAAACTCTACTTTGCATATCTGGCATAAAGGATAGGTGTTGGAGCTACTGGGGGAGGATTTTACGGACAGAGGTGTTGCTGCAACTTGCATGGTGTTTACGAAATACACACTTGGTCTCTCCAAATAGCCTCCTAGACATTGCGCTGAGCTTTTGGTTAAGCTATAGAAAATAAGACCAAAGGGTTTGGGTTGTTGCTGTTCTGAAGCTCCAGCTGAAAACAGTATTTAGATTCTTTAAGAAAACAGCTTGTTCATGTCGCCAGGACATTCTTTTTGTAAGCTTAAATATTTAAAGCAGGCTTTCTGTATCTGATATGAGACACTTTCATGAAAAAAATAACATCTTGTGATTATTATGTGAACCGGAAAGCAGTATTACCTCCTCCCCAAACCACCCTGACCAAATGATAGGTTCAATCAGAAAATGCACCGAATTACATAATTGTTCTAGAAGAAAGCATAATGGATAATGGTCAGTTGTCAAGAACTTACTTCTGAAAGAAGTGGGACCATTTTAAGACTGAAAGATGTTGCATGACTTCAAATGGATAAATTGACTTTCACCTATAAATTTTTTATACTTACACACATCTCAGCTGTCTCAACCTAACATCAGATTTGTTGAAATATTTACTTGGTTTTATACATATGTGATTATGAGTCCATTCTAGATACTGCCACTTCTTCCAAGTGCTACTTATGTTTTAACTCATCCTAAAGCAATTTGTGAGGATGTAGTTCAATGGCAGAGTTATTGTCTGGAGCATTTGAGACTCTGAATTTAATCCTCAGCCCCTCCCCCAGCACACACACACACACACACACACACACACACACACACACACACACACTAAAAGCAATTATGATTGGCAAAGAATTTAATTGTCTATAACTGTCCCAATATCTCTCATCTCTGTCTCTGTCTCTGTCTCTGTCTCTGTCTGTCTCTGTCTGTCTGTCTCTCTCTCTCTCTCTCTCTCTCTCTCTCTCTCTCTCTCTCGTGTGTGTGTGTGTGTGTGTGTGTGTGTGTGTGTGTGTGTGTGTGTGTGTGTAGCTAGGGATCAAATTCATGGTCCCACACATGCTAAGTAAGCCCTTCTTCACCTTAGCTCTGTTCCCCAGTTTTAAAATAAGGAAACCCAGGGCTGAAGGGATGGCTTAGAAGTTAAGAGCACTTATTAACTTGCAAAGAACCCAAGTTTGGTTCCCCAAACCCGTGTTGGATGGATCACAACTGCCTGTACCTTCAACTCCAGGAAATTCTAGGGCCTCTTCTGGACCCCCAAAGACCCATGCACTAGCACGTGCACACACTCACACAGAGACTCACACATAACTAAAATTAAAAGAAATCTTTAGAAAATAAAATAAGGAAACTGAGGCACAGAGAATTTAAGTAACATACTATATATAGGACAAGACCTACCTGCAAAGTTATTTTATGGAAAGATAAGATTTTGGTGACCTACTTACCTTCATTGTTGCTTTTATTTACCCATAGCTGGTGAAATCTTTCTGGGAAGAATAAGGATCCCTAATTGTAAGAAGGGCCCCACAAGCATCATTAACTAGAAAGCAAGGAACAGTATGACAGAACCATCTAGCCAAGTCTGAAGTGTGAAGACCACCATATCCACCAGAAAACCCAGGATGGATCTGCACCAAAGTACCACAGTCCAGCTCCTGGAGAAACGGTGGTCCAGTGAGTCACCATCTGGCTGCAGGAGACATTATAATGCCAGGAAAAAACTGAAGCTAATTCGAGTCATTGGCCTTGTCATGGGCCTGGTAGCTATGAGCACTGTCCCTTTTTCAATCAGTGCCTTTACTGAGACAGACACTCAGAGCAACACAGGAGAAGCCAGCGATGTGAGTGGCCCTAGGGTAGCGCAGGGTCATCATCAAAGAACTCTCTTAGATTACAAGATTCAAGATAACACTCCACAGCCACCTGCTTCTCAGGAAGACAAAACTGAGAACAGCACTGATCATGCCCAGGGAGACTACCCAAAGGACATCTTTTCCCTGCAGGAGCGCAGGAAAGGTGCCGTCATCCTCCATGTCTGTGGGATGATCTACATGTTCATCGCCTTAGCCATAGTCTGTGATGAGTTCTTTGTTCCTTCCTTGACTGTCATCACTGAAAAACTGGGCATCTCTGATGATGTGGCTGGAGCCACCTTCATGGCTGCAGGCGGGTCAGCCCCAGAACTTTTCACGTCTCTTATAGGGGTCTTCATTGCTCACAGCAATGTTGGCATAGGCACCATCGTAGGTTCGGCAGTGTTCAATATTCTCTTTGTTATTGGCATGTGTGCTCTGTTTTCTAGAGAAATCTTAAACCTGACGTGGTGGCCACTCTTTCGGGATGTGTCCTTCTACATCGTTGATTTGATCATGTTGATCATATTTTTCCTGGATAACGTTATCATGTGGTGGGAAAGCTTACTCCTCCTAACAGCTTATTTTGCCTATGTGGTTTTCATGAAGTTCAACGTCCAAGTAGAAAGATGGGTGAAGCAAATGATAAATCGCAATAAAGTTGTCAAGGTGACAGCCCCAGAAGCCCAAGCAAAGGTTGGTGGAAGTAATCTTTATTTAACTGTTTTCCTAGCCATCATTCAGAGTGCAGATGTTTTGGCAATTGGCAGCTTGTTTTTGTTATTTGTATATTTTTTTAAAAAAACTATAATTATCTTTGGCCTATAGTGGTAACAGATTGTATCCTGCAGTTTTGTGAGAGCCAATGAAAATGACAGTAGAAAATAGAAATCTGGGGAACATTGTTCTACAAGTCTACCAAGTTTCCAAGCTACTACAGAGTTGAAAAGAACAATGTAAATGCAGGTTACATAAGTATCCCAGGGCAGACTCAGCATTGACTTGATTTTAGGAAAATGGACCCAGTAATTTTGTGAGCAATTTAGTTCTTATGGGCATATTCTCAGTAAGTGATAGGGTTTTGTTTTTTAGATGAGCATATGATGGACACCAAGAACCGTCTCTTTAAAGATGTTTAGGGGAAAAGTTTTTTTTTTTTTTTTTTATAAGATCTGTACCCTCCAGCGGCGTCTCTGGGCTTAACAGCAATGTGGCTTCATCACAGTAGCTATAACTATTGGTCCTCTCTCTTTAAGTCAGTTTTATTTCATAGTACTGGGGACTGAACCCACTACCTCACACACTACTAAGCAAGCACTCTGAGTGATACTCCAGACCTCTGCCTACTTTTCTTGATCCAGGTGGTCTTATTTGAAACAGATCAGCATCCTCTGTAAAGGAAATCACTGGCCAGACCTGGCACCTGCCTCTGTACTGCAGTAGCCCATTTTACACACCATAATAAACATGACCCAGTGTACTTTCACAGGAGAATTTGAGGTAGTATCGCTTAATTAAGAAGCAGGTTTGTAAAAAGCTTAAAAGAAATTGACCTGAAAAAATATAACTTTGAAAGGAAAACAATAGATGAACAACATCAATGAATTTTTATGTAGTTTCATAATTATGCATCATTCTGATTTATATCCTAACTATAAAAATGTAATCTTTGAATGTGATTTTAAACAGAAAATTCAAGTTCATAACAGAAACTTTTCATGTTTGTATGTGGGAAAATTTCACACATATAAAAAATGTTTGAGTAGCAGTAGGAGATTTGATCATAAAGAAAAAAATGATTCTATTTCAGTTAAATTTGCATAAATCCTTTATAGACTAGGTTGATGGTCATAATTTTTGTAGTAATCACAGAATAAAAGCATAGTGGAAAAAATCATTAGTAATACCGACATAGTAGACAGAGTATACATTAAAATATACAAAGAGAAATGTTTTTAATCATTTTTATCATGCCATGTGAACGATATGTAATGGTGGGTGACACGGTATGTGTCAGAGGACAACTTTGTGGACTTCTTTTCTTCTTTCGGGGTCAGGGAATCAAACTCTGGTCACCAGATTTTTGTTATAAGCGCCTTAACCTGTTGTGATTTCTCTCTGGGCCCAAAACATGTTTATACTATATATTTCTTCTAACATCTATATCTGTGTGTGCTCATCCAGAACTGTAGTTTATAAAGTTGTTTAGCAAAGTATATAGCAAGCGTGCATTCACTTGTGACAATCGAGAACATGCCCTTCATGGCATTTGGCAAAGACTATTTTTTTATGCTCTGTGCTCTACCTTAATAACAAAAAGGCTGTCCTGCAACCTCTCCTCAAGTATGTTTGAGTGATTTGCTTAGTAGTCGGTGGTCTATTTCAATCAGAGTACTGGACAGTTCTCAAGAACAGTCATATTTTTGAGAAGCAAAGAAGTACTCTGGCACCATAGAAACATCCCAGGCACATCAACAATAAAATGTCTTTTGAGAAACTATGCCTTGGGATTTTCTTTTTAGACTCCAGTGGACCTTCTTTACTTAGATACATACTTGGTTGAAAATTGTGTTGGCCACTTTTGAAAATGTTGTTGAAACTCGGAGTTTGTATTCTGATTTCAGTCAGGGTAAGAATGCAGCTGGCATCATGCATGTGGGAAATAATTTTTTAAACACAGGGCACAGAGTACACTCAGCCAATTATAATCTGTTCACTAAAGGTTTTACCTGCTTAATTAGATGATTGTCATGTCACGTCTCTGAGCATTTGTAAGTCAGCAATTCAAGCTGACATTCCTTACTTGATGTTTTTCATATCCATAATTTTATTCTTAACTCTGTTTTCTTTTTAATTTGGAAATTCTGAGTATAGCCTAACTTTATTATAAAGATAGTGGTTATAATCTTAAATATTTCCACATAGGTTGATTCTCTAATTGTCCTTTCACACCACACTATTGCTCTATTCAGTCGTCATCATTTCTTCTGGCATTTGATAACTAATTTGAGTAGATGGGGTTTCTCTCTTAACAGAGCTGTGTCTTGTTTGAACACAGTCATACATTTTCATGTGGAATGGTTCATAAGAATCTGATTTCCTTCAATAAAATTTACCTTGTCAATTTCTCTTTGGAATCACTGCTGGAACTTTGAAATAATTGCAGCCCTTATCACCTTCCAGGTTTCAGAATCCTATGGAGCTTGCTCCCCAGCTCTGAACACAGATGTCTCAGGAGGGCTGGTTTGAGGATAGTTGTTTGCCTTCTAGTGTACTGAGCTCACTTTGGCCCGAATAGCTCATTTATCCTATAGGAGTCAGCACTCTGTTGTCATCTGGACCCTTAGATGGAGAGTCCCAATGTAGCATATGGACATCTCCATAAGAAGAAGTATACTATAGATGCAGCATGTTGTTTTGTAAACTCACCTTGTTGATTTGTTTTTGTGATTATGGGCAGAAGAGTTTGAGAGAAATGGAGAAAACACATTTTTAGATAACCTCACACAGCTAATAAACTCTTCTGGGCTCAACACAGTGAAATGGCTTTCAAATGACTCACTGCAATAAGGAAGCTGGAAATCTTAATTTGGTTCCATGATGGATGATCTGATCTGTGCCAGGAAGCAATGGGCTGTGAACGAGAAGAAATTGGGAATCCTTTTCATAAAGTGTTGCTGCCCCATGTGTGCTTTTCAGGTTTTGTGTTTGTTTGTTTGTTTTTAAACTTCCTTTGGTGATACTACTACCCACTTTAAAAAGTTACAGAGTGCCGTGATATGATATAGAGGCCTGGACAGGAAAGGTTTTGCTGTTGGCATTTTTAAGTAGTTCTTTGAGAGTTTCATAGAGTATATTTTGATCATATTTATCCCCCCCCCAACTTTTCTCAGTTGTGACCCCTCTTCGTTACCTACTCAATTTTGTGTCCTTATTTTTAATCCTTAAGGACCAATTTGTGCTGCCCAATCTTCTTGGGTGTGTGGTCTCCCATTGAAAGGGATGTGGTACATACATTCCCTTTAGGGTTGAGCATTCTTCAGTCACTTACTCTCTGCACCATGGCCAGCTGTGGGTCTCTTGTTAACCACTGTCTACTGCAAATTGAAGCTGCTCAGGTGAGGACTGAGAGATGAATTGATTTATATGTGTAATAATGAGCCATTCAGGGTTGGTTTAGTACTCTGTCCATTTAGCTAAATAATAGTAGTAAGTACTCAGGGGCCTTTCACCTATCTAGGCACAGGCTCTTGGCTGGATATTGGTGCCAAGTATAGGTTTCATCTTGGGGATGGAGAATAAAATCCAATTTAAAAGGGGGGTTGGTTACTCCCATGATATTAGTGCCTTTATTATGCCAGTACATATGTCTTGCCAGTCCAGGAATTATTGCAGCTTACTAGACTCATAGCTGAGAATAATTACTTGTTAGTTTTCTTCCTGGTAGCAGGCCTGGTGCTTTTCATCACTATGAAAACTAGTTAGTAGAGATAAAGCCTTCAGGTCAGTAGCAGTTTGATTTCTCTACGTATTGTGACTCAAGTATATGGCATCTTCAGAAATAGGATCTTATGGTCAAGCTGTGGTGGAGAACCAGGGGCATGAAAAATAGCATGTAGTGTTTGGGGGTTTATGAGACCTCTCTGGCCAATGACTCCAAAAGAAATAACCCATTCCTGGTACTGGGCTTTCTATTTGATAGCCTGTGATGTCTAGTGGAGTATTGTTGCCCTGATATGGGGTAACTCCATTTTATCTCTCATTTTTTGTGTATTTATAATAGGTAGCTTCTACTGCAGTACATTTCTGTGTGTTTTTAAAAGGGTTTTTAGTGTTGCTTATCCATCTCTGTACTTCCTCCTCTACCCTGTTCACTGTTCCCCATGCCCTAGTTTAACCCTTCCCGTTCCTTTACTCCCTCTCGAACCTTTTATACCACTGCATTCTGTCTCCCCTACCATGAAAGCTGTCCCACAAGTACCCTGAGTAATTTCCTGACTTCCCTGAATATCATGAAGGTATTTTATACCCTTCTATGTAACAAGCATCAAGTATAGTCCTTGGCAAATGTGTGGCAAGTGATGTGTCACATGTGGCAAATTTGGCTTGGTAGGTGTATGTTGGTTCCATTCCTTTACTGTTCCATTCTTAAATGAAAGTGAATCAGAATGAGGGATTCCAGGTTGGATTTATAAAAGCAGGTTGCCGTGTCTCTGGGGGCAGGGGATGTATTTACCATGTTATAACACTCAAAAATCTAGTTGGTGTACAGTGACTACTATCTGTGCTTCATGTGTTATCATAAACTCCAATGAAACCACTTTGTTTTTGGCCTGAAATTTTACTGCCTAGAATTTTGCTTGAAATCAGGAGATCATTTAGAAGTGGCTCAGAAATGTCTATACTAAGTGTAACTTCTATAAGGCATTTTTGGTTATAATCATCGGGGCCCTGGCCCCTTCCTATCTGGTTAGTCAGTAATTTGAATGGTACAGGGAGTAGAGCTGGATGTCTCATTTCAGGACATGCAAACATTTTGGGGAGCATCTGGCTTGGCTCCTGAGATCTGGTTTTGATGTGTCACTGTACTAGGCTGTCACTGGCCCAGAAAGCAGCTGTCCATGGTATTTAACTTCTTAGACTTGGCACACTAATCTGACAGCAAGTCAGCTGAGTTCTAATCAAGGGAGTGATCC